GCTGCGCAGCAGCACGGCCGTGCCCTGGCCGGGGTCAGGCTCCAGCACCCACAGCTGCTTCCTCTTGAGGCTGGGCGCCGAGGCGTTGACCTTGAAGCCGAAGCTCTCGGCGGTCAGGTAGCGGTCCGTGTCGTTGACGAGACCAAACTGGATCTTCAGCACCTGGTGCAGGCCGTTGGTGGGCATCTTGGGGACGGCCCACGAGAGGCCTGGGAAGCTCCCCCTGCGTGCTCACGGCCCCCGAGGTCCCCCAGAGGCCCGGCCCCTAGACCCCACCGGCGTCATGGACCTGCTGCCCGCTCAGATGTCGCCTCTGACCGGTGGCCGTGGGCCTGGGCAGCTCTTACCTGACCAGCGGGCAGCAGAGGGAGGGCGGGAGGCGGATCAGAGCTGTACCGGCTTAGGGACAGCGGCCGCCTGTCTTACCCCGGCTTGGATTTCAGCCACTCCCGGGCTGCAAGGGGCTGGAGCCGGATCGGGGCTGGAAAGCGCTGTGCGCCCCCAGGCCTGACCACCCCCGGACCCCGCCAGCGTCTGCTGGGGGCAGCGCGGACGGGCCCTGCGCCCTGCCTCGTGGCCCCCTCACCTCGTGGCTTCCCTCCTTCTCATCCCCCACCTCGGGGCCCCTAGACCCACTGCAGGGACTCGCAGGTCCCGCCAGCTCTTCCCCGATGTATGAAAGCCGCCGGCGGAGAGCTCGCAGTGCAGTGGCAACCCGATCACAGCCCGCCACCCTCGGCGGCCGCCAGGTCCCCACAGATCCAGTTACTGCTTCTCTGATGCCTGCTGCCAGGCGCACGCAAGGTCCCTGGCCGCGGGGCCCGCAGCCTGCATCACACACTCTCCCCCTAGGCTGCCCTCTGCCATGGCCTGCAGCCCTGGGCCCGAAAGCGGTAGGCAGGGCCGTTGGCGCCGTGGGCAGGCCAGGTGCCCCCATCCTGGCAGCTGTGGCCTCCAGGCCCAAGCAGGGGACAGGCAGCCTGACCGTGCTGGGCCGTGCGCAGAGGGACCGTGCTCGGGGCCGAGGCGGCAGCTGTATGATGGGGACAGTGAGTGGGTTGCACGGGGGAAGGTGACATGAAAGCGTAATCGTGGAGCGGGTGATGTCATACCAGGTGGCACTAGGAGGCGTCAGGCTGCTGGACCAGGTCAGAGGGCCCAGCTACGAGCTGACCACTGTGCCCTGAGCGCCTCACAGGGCAGGGCCCACAAGGCTTCTCTCCTCTGTGGGTGCGCTCGGGTCAAGCCAGCCATGTTGGGTGGCCTTGGGGGCCCTTGAACTGCTATCCTCATGGCCAGAAAAACTGGCCTGACTTCGGGGTCTTTATGGGGTCGGGTCTAGGAAGCCATGTAGGGATGAGGCCAGCTGGCCAGGAGAAGTGGAAGCTGGCCACCCCTGACGCCGGCATCTCCCAGTCCCTGGCGCTGGGGCCCCCCAGTGGCACCCCGTCCCCCCTGAGCACCGGGGGGCTGCCTTTGGGGACCTGCAGCAGGCAGCTCAGCCTGGCCAGGCCTGTCTGTCTGCTGCACCTGCCTCAGGGGCCAGGAGCCAAGCAGTGAAACCGGAGCAGCTCGACCTGGCCTGGGCCAGCCTCGGCGTCCTCTCCAGCACAGCGTGTGACCCTCGCGCCTCCCTGGGGACGGGGACCTGGGACCACAGGACGCTTCCAGCCGCTACCTCCAGTCTCTCCCCATTTTCGTGGGGGTCCAGCGGATAGAAAGGGACTTGGGCTGGGCACGTGTGGGCCCAGGGCGGGGGTGTGGGGCAGATGGCACAGGGGCAGAGGTCCTTCGTCCGCTCTCCCAGCCCTGGCCGGGAGCCCAGCCTGGCATATGAAGATGGTAGGCGGAGAGCAGGGCCCTGTCCCCTCACTGGTGTGGCAGGCTGAGCGCTGCACGGATGCCGCAGTGCGCGTGCGCGTGTGCAGGTGTGGGAGCGGGAGGCAGGCATGGGGCAGGCTGCGAGGCGGCCCAGGTTGGGCCAGCCCTGGCTCTTCCCGAGGGCTGGCGGCATCCGCCTCTGTGCCCCACACTGGGGGCTCTGACGGCGTGCCCGGCTGGGCTGCACGGCAGGCACCCCTCTGAGGAGCTGCAGTCTGGGGCGATGCCCTCCCCAGAGGTGAGGCCCACACAGAAGGCCCCACGCCCCCAGCGGACTGGGCCCAGGCCTCGGTGCAGAGCAGTGACCCTGGTCGGAGGTGCAAGCCACAGGGTTGTCCACACCAGTTCACCTGTGCCCACGGTCCCCTCCTGCACCAGAGCCCCAAGCCAGGCCGCACAGGAGCCGACGTCCAAGGAGCCTCATTAGCGCTGACTGGCGCTGGCAGGTGCTCACGGCCATCGCGTGCCCGGGGAGGGAAGCCTGGCTGCCAGGCGCTAAGTGGGCCTGGCTCCAGGCAGCTTCTCGGCGGCAGAGCCAAAGTGGCTGCGTCCTCTCAGCTTTGGCGGTGAGGTGGGGCTGCCTTGCACTAACCCAGGGCCGTGAGCCGAGGGGTGGCCTTTCGGGCCCCGGGGGACTCTGAGAGGTGGGCCTCCCAGCCCCAGGTCCCTGGAAGAAGGCCATGTGCTCGAACCTCCTGTTCCCTGGCCCCCTCTGGACCTGAGGCCTTTGCCCAGCTGCCCGTGAGAGCCATGGTTCCTTTCTGGGACCACCCCCGACGTTTCTGGCACCGAGTCTGTACTTGATAAGTCCCTGCAGACGTTCGATGCAGGGCTTCTGGCGTGACGGGCTGAGCTCTGCAGGTAGATGCGGCAGCGTGCGCGTGAGCCCGGGCCTGTGTGTGCGTGTGCGTGTGTATGAGGAAGTACACGTGGATGGCGACGGCCAGGGCGAGCCACGGCCACCCGCTGGGCTCCCTGGGCCCTGGAGATGCTGCCGTGGCCCTGGCCGCGGGACCCAACACACTCACCGCTGCCTGGCAGGGCGACCAGGCCACGTGCACCCCCAGGGACTGTCCAGGCTGCCACTCACACCCGATGCACTCTCTCCCCAGGCCTGCTGCCCCTGGCACCACCCCCCGGCGATGGGGAGCACCCCTCCCATGGAGCCCCTCGAAACCCATGGCCGTGCCCCCACCCAAAGGTGTCCATGCAGCCTCTCGCTTGGGGCCTACGAACCGCCATTGCGTCCTGTCCAGCCTACACTCTGGGGCCACCTCTGACCCTGCAGCAGTCCGCCCCCAGGGTGGGGGCGTGGACCCAGTGTGCGCCCGCCGCCCCGGCTGCCACTGGCAACCGCCGGACCAAGCCTGGACGCAGACGTCAGGCCACCGATGTGCTGACTTAAGCCTGTTTGATTTGGGGGCGCCTCTTCCTCATGAGCACCGTGAGGGCAGCACCCCAGTCCCACGTCAAGGAACGACCATCCGTGATGGGCATAGCCAGATGCATCCTCGCGGGCACAGCTGGGCCCAGAAGGCAGGGTCCCCTCAGACATTGGGAGCCCCCGGCAGACAAGGCCGGGCTGAGCCTCAGCCTCTACCAGCTTAATGAGTGTCCGGCTGAGGCCAGGAGTAGGTGGGACCTTTTCAGGGCACCTCGGGCCCTGGCAGTCATCCCGGGACCCTCAGAACACTGACTGTTCCTTCCTTAGGATGCTGAGGGATGGGTGGGCCTGGCCTCTTGGAAGGTCCCTCTCCCCCTCTAATCAGCCAGGCCCTTCAGGGGCTACCAGGGAGGGGACCCCCGCTGGCCCTAGACACTAGTGCCCAGTCCGGGCTCCTGCCAGCACGCTGCCTGCTGCCATGGCAACTGGCACATGCGCCGGGCCAGCTGCCCGGGCAACGCCGATGATGGTGGCGTGAGCTGGCACAGGCCCTGTGTGTGCAGGCTGGAGGCGGGGGTGGGGCAGCTCCCCACCTTTGCTGGCCTGGAGCCCTGGAAACTGGGAAATGGCCCAAGACGGAAGCCCAGGCAGTCCCACCACCGAGGGACCTCTGCAGGTCACACGTTCCCAGCCCTGGGTCTTGGCCCCTCTCTGAGCGACGCCCACTGCACCTCCCTGGGGAGCAGCAAGGCTTTGAGGTCGCCCCTCCCACTTTGCAGAGCCCCCCTCAGCCCCAGGCCCTGGCCGCCTGCTGCCCTCGTTGGCAATCCCGTCCCAGCCGGCCCTGGCGCCCTGTCCCTCCCTGTTCCGGCCACTCTGGGCCCCTGCCTGGGCTCCTTGGCCATGTGAGGCAAGGGCCACCCTGCCAGCCTGGGCGCTGGTGGGCATGGCCCGAGCCCCTGCCTTCCTGGATCATGGGCTCCCGGGGTCCAAGTTGGCAGGCGGCCGGGGCCCAGCCCCCGCGTTGTCCCTGTCACGGGCCGGCTGGGTGGCCGCATGATTTTTTTATGGCGGGGCTGTGCGGCCGCAGGTCCACTTACACACACGGCAGCCAGCACTTCTCTTGCTCTGGCCTGGGTTGGTTTACGAGAGGCCTGCAGGCGGTTTAGGGTGACAGCTCCCCAGGCAGGGCAGGGAGGGGCGGTGTCGATGAAGAGCCTCAGACTGCACCTCCCCCCTGCTCCACAAGAAAATCCGCCTCCCCTCACCTCGCAAGACCCCTCCCCCCAGGGCCCCTCTACCACCCCCTAGGACCCTCTCTACCACCCCCCCGGGGTTTGCAGGCAGCTCCTTAAATACTGATTTTCCAAGACTCTGCCCCTGCCTCGTCCCCTGCCACTTCAAGTGCAGAGCTGCCACTTGAGTCTCTCAGGGTAGAAAGTTGGGACAGTCTCCTGGCTTTGGGCTCCTGTAGAACCATAAGGTGAGGGGTGGGGGCTCCGCTGGTGGTGGTGGTGGTGGGGGATTCAGCTTACAGAGGAGAGGGAGCGACCAGAGACTTCTGGGCCCAGGCAAGGCTGAAAGTTCCAGACGCCCTATGACCAGGGGGAAATCTTCCAACACGCAAACCCCAGGATCTTTGCACATACCTAGGACAAGAGGGGAGCAGTCACAGGACTGCCGGAGAGGGAGCCTCTGGTTGCCTGAGGCTCAGTGTGAGGACCAGACCAACTCACAGACAGCTACGGCCCACTTGGGTTTCCAGACACACGGATTCAAGGCCCAGATGGTCGACACCTGGCATGGACACTCACGAACTCACAATTCCACAGGTGACCAGGCAGCCTCTGCTCTGCCCCCGTCTGCGGGCATCTTCACACAAACACACACGTGCCCATGCGCATGCGCGCGCGCGCGCGCG